GATACATGATGTTATTCCTCTAATCTGCATGCTGCAGCATGTTTCTTGTTGCAGGAGAACTTTTAGGAGCTATGAACAGAAATCCTTGATTCTTTATTATGACTTTGAACGTTGAAGGTGTCATCCCATGAGGCCTGTTTTAATTTAAATATCAAACATGACGAGTAAACCAAAACTAAACATAAGCCATGAATCAGTGAACTGTCACCTGGCAGAGGGTTTTTATTGTGAAGCAGCTGCAGGAAGTACATAAATCACAGAAACTAATTTCATAGAGACTCATGAAAAAACCTCAGACAGAACTTCACTTTCGGTTCAGACAGACTGAAGGTTTTTCTAGATCCAGCGGCCTCTTTGTGCTGTCGTCTGTTTGGTGTCTCATTACCCCCGTGTGATATTTCTGCAGACTGTGTGACAATCCTCTGCTGGAGTCGGGGGCCCGCACCCTGCTGGAGGCCCTGCCAGAGAACCAGAGCCTGACCCACCTGTCACTGATGCACACGGGACTGGGGGACGCGGGGCCCTGGAGCTGGCTGACCGGCTGCAGAAACATGCAGGGCTGCAGGAGCTGAACGTGGCATACAACAATATCGGGGACAACGCCGCCCTCGCTCTGGTGGACGCCTGCAGGGAACATCCCAGCATCCACACCTTGCAGTGAGCAGACCTGCGAGAATCGCATTTTCTAACCGGATAATTCTGAAATGTATTTTTATGAGCTCAGAGAGACTGACTGATCTGGTGTCTGTGTGCAGTTTGTACCTGAACCCTCTCAGCAATGTGGGGAAGCAGTCCCTTTATGTACGAGGCGTTCCAGAGAGTCAGGGGGGCAGCGGGCGGCGGGTCCGAGTCCTGGCCTCAGTCACCGAAGGTTCTGACCTGTCAGAGGACTGGCACCCGATCCTCAGCGTGATCCGAGAGAACGCGTCCTCCTGGGACCGAGAGCGGGTCGAACAGCAGCTCAAGGTAAAATCAGGGAGAGGGGGGTGAAGGGGATTTATGAAGGAGAGAGGATTGAAGTACGTCTACAAGCTGGTGAGGGTCACTGTCTCTGAAGGACTTGTCAACATGTTCAAGGTTTTTAGCTGCAAACAAACAGGTTTGTGCTGCAAGACAAACAGAATGAGTCAGGGATGTAAAGATGAATCGATATATACATGATGATGATAAATCAATTCAAAGGAGTCAAGGTTCACATCGGTACTCTGAAAAATGAAACAATAATATGGTTAGCGTCAGCAGATGCAGAGCAAGATTTAGAAATTGAGGACGCACCACCATCTTTTAAATTGGAGGTGTGGAAGCATTTTGGCTTCCCCGAGACAGAAAAGAAAAGGTGAGAAGATAACAGACGAGACAAAAACTGTGAGCAAAAGAAGACAGGGAAGTACACAAAGAGCACAACCAACATGATGCAGCATTTAATCATCAATCACCTCCCCTTGTTGAGAGAAAAAAAACGATCAAACCACTCTGACGATCAGGTTAGAGCCACCTAAAGGAATCTGTTTCAGTCATCCTCTGTCTACTGTCTCATTTTGTAAAATAAGAGAGAATGGTATCGTGAATCGTGTCTTGAGTTGTGTGAATGGTTACATCCCTAGTATGGCTGCATTTTGCCCCTAAAAGTCTCAGGCTCCACCTCCTCTGTGCAGGTGTTCCTCAGGACCTGGAGTGGGGCCGGCAGCAGCAGCAGAGTCTCTGGAAGAGGCTTCACTTCCGTCGGGTGGAGAAAGGAGTCCGACAGACGTTACGGATGCTGGAGAAGGACAAACTACCTCCAGCCAGAAAGTAACCAGGAGAAAATTAATCAGCAGAGAGACTTTCAGACCTCCACAGTCTCTAAACTGGTCCAGGTCCATGGCCACGTCAGTTTCAGACTTCAGACCCAGAACATTAGCTGACCTCTGATCAGCTGATTATCAGCTGAGTGTAATAAAAGTGAGACTGTGTGATAATAAAAACGTTTTTCATTTAAAGCATCATCAATAAAAGTCTCTGAGATAAATCACAGCTCCTGACTCTTTTCTTCTTCTCCAGCTCATAGGGAAAGATTTTATTTTTTATTTGAATGAAAGACCAACGTTAGAGCTTTTTATGACCGACATGTCACTTAGAGGAGGACCCTAATCAGAGTAGGACCCTAATCAGAGTAGGATCCTAATCAGAGGAGGACCCCAACTCAGAGGAGGACCCTAATCAGAGTAGGACCCCAACTGAGAGGAGAAGCCTAACTCAGAGGAGGACCCAAACTCAAAGGAGGACCCTAACTCAGAGGAGGACCCTAACTCAAAGGAGGACCCTAACTCAGAGGAGGACCCTAACTCAGAGGAGGACCCTAATCAGAGGAGGACCCTAACGGAGAGGAGTACTGTTAGTACGAATTTTCATGAAATTCATTAATCTTGTAACTTCGTGAAATGTATTAATCAAGTCTGCCTACCACCTGTTAACACTCCTACCTTTAGGTGTCTGAAGCTGTAACCTTATATGAGCGAAGCACCTAAGTAGTAGCAGATCTATGTTTGGATAGGAGCCAAGCATATGTTGTCAGCAACTGTTTGCTAGACAGAGAGTCTACAGTTGTTACGTATACAAATCAGTGTCATGTCATCTTTATTGTTTTATGGTGATGTACCCAAATGGAAAGGAATTTGGGGGTTGCACCTTTTTGACAGAATATAAGCAGCACTGTGAACACTGTTACTTTGTCAGCACTTTGTCAGTCAAGTGATTTGGAAGCATGCTTGTTTGATGAAGTTGTCTGACCTCGGCCGATTAAAGGGTGTTATAATCTCCAGTCTGTTTCACGATTTCTTCATTGGATTTATACAAACAGAAACAACCCTCACCTAACAAGCTCCCAGTTACTGCTCGCATCAAATTTAAAACTCTGCTGCTCGCTTACAAAACAGCAACAAAAACGGCTCCTCCTTACTTTAACTCTTTCATCCAGGTCTACTCTCCCTCCCGCCCACTACGCTCTGCCAATGAAAGGCGTCTGATCCAATGAAAGTACCCTAATCAGAGGAGGACCCTAACGGAGAGGAGTACCCTAATCAGAGGAGGACCCCAACTCAGAGGAGGACCCTAATCAGAGTAGGACCCCAACTGAGAGGAGAAGCCTAACTCAGAGGAGGACCCTAAAGGCCTTTTCACATTGAGTCCGGTTTTTCCGGATGCGTTTCCAAAGAAACGTTACGCACAGACAGCTTGCACACTGAGTCGCTGCGTTTATTTTTCTACTACTTCCGAAAATTTGCAGTATGAGACACAATGCCTCGTACGCAAGGCTTTGATATTTCCTCCCACATATCCCAGACTGTTGGATATTTCCTCCCTCATATCCCAGACTGTTGGATATTTCCTCCTGATATTCAGATTTATTAAGGGAGTCGGTTTGGGACACACTTTTGATAATCTTGAATATTCCATTTATTGCCTCTTTCCTAGCAATCTTAAATTACCCAGCAATCGGTATCCTTCTTTTGTGTTTATACTCGTTCTCATTACGCACAGAGATCAAGTGTTGAATATGATGATCCAGTTCTTTCACTCCTTGAAAAAAAAACAACGGGCTCCGTTCACATGACAACAAGACAAGAGCGAGGAAAGTTTCACGTGTCGATAAAGGAGCTGCAGAATTATCCCGCTCACTTCCAGATGTGTTTCAGGATGTCAGTGATCCAGTTTGATACGCTGCTCTCTCCCAACTGAAACCGCACAATAAGAAGAACACCAACTTCAGAGAAGCATACGATCCTGAACAACAGCTGTATGTTTGAGGTCAGGAAACAGACACACACAGACAGTGTGAATCAGAAGTCTTAAAGGAGTTTGAAGAAGTCAGATTAAAATGAACTCAAGAAAAAACTTGTCTGTAACAGATTCTGTTCAGGAGCATTTAAAAAGAGGGGACTGACCTCCTTGGACAGGCCGGTCCAGTTTGACCTCCTCTGTGGAGGATCTGGATGTTCCAGTTGGCTCATGTAAAGGTCAGATATGAAATAAAGTTATGAAGCTGGAATCAGTCTTCAGATCAATCCTGAAACACACGGGGAGCCGCAGAGACGCTAAAACAGGAGTGATGTGGTCATGCTTTCCTGTTCTGCAGCTGAGTTCTGACCTGAGTCGATCTGTAGACTTCTGCTCGAGGCAGAAAAGAAGTCGAGACGTGATGAGATGGAGGCGTTGAAGCGTGGAAGTTTTTAAATATTTCTGAGATGAAAAAAAAATGTCGTGTGAAGTTCAAAATCCAACCACTCAGATTTTCTACAAGTCTGATGTAGTTCAAAGAGGAACCAGCAGATGGCAGTATGACTCTGACAGTTTTTTTACGATTGCTATGACACTTCGTTCAATACTTTGAACAATTTTCCTAAACTCTTTACACAGTTAGCACAACATCCGTCCCTGAAGGCTTTGCAATAAACACATTTCTTGTTGCTTTGACACAAAATACAAACATTTAACACAAATTTAAAATGCTTTAACTTCTTTTACACACAAGTTCAACCAAGACCAAAACAATGGATTGTCAGAACAGATAACATCATGTTCAAAACCTAACCTATAGGCTAAAGTCTAAGTGAACAGCTGTTGAATGTTGTAGATTCATGTCGATTTGCCCTGTACAACATCAGGAAGATCAGACCTTACCTGTCAGAACACGCTACACAGCTCCTGGTACAGGCTCTTGTGATATCACGCATCAATTATTGCAACTCTCTACTTGCAGGTCTTCCTACATGCACTATCAAACCTCTGCAAATGATACAAAATGCAACAGCACGACTGGTCTTCAACCTTCCTGAAAGAGCACATGTCACTCCACTGTTCATCTCCTTACACTGGCTCCCAGTTACTGCTCGCATCAAATTTAAAACTCTGCTGCTCGCTTACAAAACAGCAACAAAAACGGCTCCTCCTTACTTTAACTCTTTCATCCAGGTCTACTCTCCCTCCCGCCCACTACGCTCTGCCAATGAAAGGCGTCTGATCCAACCTTCACAACAGGGTCCTAAGACGCTGACTAGACTCTTCTCCTCTGTCCCCCCCCGGTGATGGAATGAACTTCCAAACTCCATTCGATCTGCAGAGTCCCTCTGCACCTTTAAGAAAACGCTAAAGACCCAGCTCTTTCATGAATACCTACTAACTTAATGATGATGGTCTCCATATTATTGATGATGATGATGGTTGTCACGATTGTTTTTGTTTGATAACGATGACTTATAAGATGGTTTCTATACTGATTAGAGCTCTCAAGAACTGCCGTCAATGTTGTGCTTTGCCTCTGTGCAATGCCTGTCAGCACCTGTGTGTCCAATCGGACTCAAAGCTGATTGTTTGCTCTTACTGACATTGTTCCCTTTTTTCTAGATCCTTGCTTGGGTTGTACTTACTCTCTGATGTATGTCGCTTTGGATAAAAGCGTCTGCTAAGTGAATTGTAGAATTGTAGAATTGTAGAAAGACGAGTACCAGGACAAGGAAGAGCAAGATGAGTACCAGGACAAGGGAGAGGAAGACGAGTACCAGGACAAGGGAGAGGAAGACGAGTACCAGGACGAGGGAGAGGAAGATTTGTCTCATGCTCAACAGATGTGCAGTGAAATGTAAAGACTGTTCCGCAAGGTCATAAAATAAACACTCAAAAATTACTACAGTAATACACATACAGGAAATGTAAAAATATACTGTAAGATAAGATCAAAAATGAAAAGTATAAATATTCAAAATGTGGAAAATGTAAACATTGTAATGAGTAGAGTATCAGCGTATAAAGTGTCCAGGGTGTCAAAGTGCAGAAGAGTACTAGGACATGGGAGAGGAGGGGGACAACAGCGAGGCAGGGGAATAGGGAGGAGGTACAGTACCTAGCAGATCTCTTCTGGCAGAGATGGATTAGAGAATATCTTCCAATCATACAACAGCAAAACAAGTGGCTCCACCCCAAAAGGAGCCTTTGCCTGAACAACCTTCTCGTCATAGTGGACAACACAGCACCCAGGAGCTCTCTGTGTTGTAAAGACATTCCAGGGGTCCAAAGGGTTTGTCCAGAGCGTCTTTGTGAAAACCAAGAGCAGCATCTTTCAGAGACCTATTGACAAGCTCTGCCTGC